TCGCCTACTTGGAATGGAAGAACGTTGAGTACCTGGAAAAGATGGAGTATTTAAGCGGGGGTCCTGAACTAAACCCCCTCAATTACTCGGTTCGGGCGGAGCTCAACAGGGTGGTCTACAGTGGCGGAGAAATCAACGATCTCGCTCAACTCCGGTACCCACTCACTTTCGCGCGGCCGAATCTCTCGATGGCGCTCCTCCAGAAGGCTGTGGCGGAGTATCATTATAGTATTTAATGTGCTCTTTAATATGGTAGTAAAAATGTCCGATAAAAATTTAATAAAGTGTAACTTATAGCGCCTTGAAAGTCATGGAGGCAAAATGACTTTTTTTTGGCCCCCCCTGTGTATATTCCCCTCAGGGTGCAGCATCACTGTGTGGGACACATGAGGGGGCTTGTACTTTTTCTCTGGAGAGGGGGCGGGGCGTATCCGGCCGTTGTTCGTTGTTGGGAGAGGGTGGTAGTGTGTGGCCTTGAGAGAAACTTGCCGCGTTGGGAAAAAAATTTTCTTTTGCATGCGTACTTTCATGTGCACTACTACCCCCCCTCGACGGAAAATCCTTGGGTGAAAACGTGAAAAAAGTGGGAAATTGGTAGGTAGGTGACGGGGAAAGAGGGAGGGGTCGTATCGAGACGTTCCCTTAGATGGGGTGATGGTCGTACTAACACCACCATTCCACACATTACGATACTGTGCCCTTTCTCCCCCTCTCCCGTTTGACAGCGAAATTTTGGGATACTAAGACTTTTGGGGAGTTCCGGAAAAAACTGGGAAAAGTGTAGGAAAGATGTGGAGGGGGGTCGTATTTTCCTTGCGGTTTTTCCCGTTTCACTTGTGCCCTCGCTCTACAGCTCGATCGTACAAGGAGAGAACTAAAGGCTAGATGAAGGGAGGGGAACACAAGTCACCTTTTAGGGTGGGGGTCGTACGGACTCCTCCCATCTAGAGATGTACCCTGCTTTTGAAACTGACCACCTCGAAATATGCTGGGAATCTTTTGTGGGTTGTTTCACACACTATCTGGCTACAAATGAGCAGCCTCATTTGTGTCCTGTACTTTCCCAAATACGCCGAGAAACGAAGGAACTTTTGCCAAAACTCGGATAAGGCGATTAGGCCGCGTTCTTATCTTACTAAATGGGAGAATCAGTTGGTGTACCCAGGACGTTCTAGGCGATGCATCGTGTGCAGACCACCTGCTAGGATTCCTGGCTTGTTGACTCGAATAGACCACCTTTGGCGTCAATCCAGTTAAGTCATGGCAACCTAAGTCCTATTCCGTTTATTACGCTTTTATCTCAACGAATTAGGCATTTCCTGGCCTTGTAGACTTGTTTTCTCTATTTCGAAATCTGAGGAAAACCTATTAATGAGTGAATGAATTCCATAAATTTAGAACTTTTTAGGTTGCGCGTAGCATGCAAGACATTTGAGAGTAACGCCCCGCTTTGAATAGTGGTGATTTGTGCGGCTCAAATACTGATGACAAGATGGCAAATAGACATAAGTGAAAAAAGCACTAAAACCCCGCTCGAAATGCTCTACATACAGCCCCATTGTTAACCACGCTTATACGTGCATAAGACAGAAGGGGCGTGGCCGGACGAGTTCACTCGTTGTTGCCGGCTCCTTCTCCTTATCATCCCGCTCTCATCATTCCAAATGAGGAACGATATCAGGTTGCAGTTAAAAATGGATGTTGGACGTCGCGGTGGCCAGTGGGCGCAGCCGTGGCCTCGTCGCGAACACCTTACGCCTTTCTCAGGTAATTTTGAGCCGCCGAAGTGCAATAGTACATGCTCCATGTTTCCAGGCAGAACTACCATGTCCAAGGAAGGAGCCTGAACGCCAAATTCTAAATGCTTTGCATCCTTCAATTGCCTCACCTTGATGGAATCCCACCCTATGACGCAAGGCACGCCATCGTTGCGAAAATCACAACGACGGGGCCGCATTTGATCGCGAAGAAGGGGGTGTAAGCGCAGGGCTCATTCAAAAGTGGGAAGAGCAGCAATACTGAAATACAATCCTACAATCGCTGTGAAATAAAAGATTTAATCATGTTCTTGCCGTGAAAAACACTTAAATACACCTAGTGACCAAGGGAAACTGTAAGCTCAGAAGTGGCAACATTAATGACAAGAAATACTGTGGACGCCCACAACAATGCCATAAAGTATTAATTAATAAAATACATCATTGCGCGGAGTTCCGTCCCGAAGGAGCACATTTGCTCTCACAAGAAGCCTTTCCTGGAAATTACACCTTTCTAACACCTCTGCGTGGGAGTCGGATGCATGGCGCAATACAGGGGTCAATTAGCG